ATATCATGTTTAGCGTTTGTTTATGTGCAAGGTATCAATCTTGTCCAAAAGAATCACATTTAACGGCGGTGAAACGGATAATGAAGTATCTTGTTGGTACAATGAACGTTGGACTATGGTACCCCAAGGGGTCTCCCTGTCATCTTTTTGGCTATTCCGACTCGGACTTTGCCGGTTGTAGATTAGACCGTAAGAGTACGAGTGGGACTTGTCACTTGCTTGGTAGTTCTTTAGTCTCATGGTTTAGCAAGAAGCAAGTCAGTGTTGCGTTATCCACAACCGAAGCGGAATATGTTGCCGCCGGTAGTTGTTGTGCTCAAATCCTTTGGATGAAGCAACAACTTGTGGATTATGGCCTTAGTATCGATCACGTCCCTCTTCGATGTGATAATACTAGTGCCATAAGCTTGACGAAGAATCCGGTTCTTCACTCAAGGACGAAACATATTGACATTAGGCATCATTTCATTAGAGATCATGTTCTCAAAGGTGATGTCGAAATTGAGTTCGTTGAAACACACAACCAATTAGCCGACATTTTCACAAAACCTTTAGAGAAAGAGTCGTTCTTCCGCATTCGTAGTGAACTCGGAATCCTTGACTCCACGATCATCTAAATTGTGCATTAATTATTATTTTTGGACCCTACTAACTTGAACGTCGGAGACGTTTTTAATTCTTTTTTGCAGGGCTCTTTTTTAATTTTATTTTCAGGTGTCAAAGTCAGGGGGAACAAAAGAAATCGATTTCTAGTTCCAGGACTGAGTGTAAATCGATTTACAGGATTGTGATAATCGACTATCACAACCCACAAAAGTTTGAGCAAAGAAACTGAAGGAGCCAACAATCGATTATCAACATTAAGATAATCGATTATCTGAGCCTGCAGGAGTTTGAGGAAACATAGCTGGAGACATCATCAATCGATTTACAAAAATCATGTACATCGACTATTAAAGCCTTCAGAAATATGAGGCAAATTCTCTCCAACAATCGATTTACAACCAAGGCAGAAATCGATTATTGAAGCCTGCAGTTTCTTTGGCGGAGAATCTGAAGCCTCAGATAATCGATTTACAGGGAGTGTAAATCGATTATCAACGGCGATTTTTTCAAAAATCTGACCGTTGCAGAGACGTTGGAGAGCAGTTAATGCCTTGTTTGACCATCCCAACGGATCTTTACACCTCTTCCACTATATATTGGTGATATCTACTCCATTTTTACTCATTCCAATCATCTCTTCTCCATATATTCGTCATAGTTCATCATTCTTGCTCCTATTCTTCATTTCTTTCAAAAATTTCTACAATCTCTCTCCTCTCTTGTTGCAATGGCAGGCGGTCAAAGAAAGCATTCCCGCACCGGAAAGAACGTTGCTTCCTCTTCGGCTCCTCCACCACCGGCACACAAGTATCTCGACGGGTCGTTCCTTTGGTTCAACGACCACGCAGAGGCGACGCGGTTCTCGGAGAAATTTGAGCACCGAGAGATTCTCCCTCCCCGATTCTCCACAGCCTGCTTCATTCATGACTCCATTCCACGTGAGGCACGGATTATCCTCGAACGTGGAAACTTCCTCGATCTCCTCTACATCAAGAAGGTCAATTATCAACCCTTTCTTATTCGAGCTTTCTACTCGAACTTGAAAAAGGATGAGGACGGAGCATTGATCTCTAATGTCAACGGGGTGGACATCTATTTGAATGAGGAGAACATTCAAATCCTCACCGGGCTTCGTCGGGACGGACAGGATCTCGGGCTCTACGTCGGAGAAGAAGGAGCGCGGTTCAATGAGACCGCTCTCTTGGAGGAAGTGGGCATCCGACACTTCCTATCCACTCCCCAACAGCGGCGCCCTACGATTGCTTCCATGAGTCCCGTGTTTCGATTCATCTTTTATGTTTTGACACGGATTCTCAAACCCAGGAAGTTCAATCACACCACACTCTCCCAGGAGGACACGAAGACAATTCATGCGATGATTCACAACGCCAATCTCAATTGGTGTAAATTTGTGATGACTCACATGTTCACGGCCACCTCCGACAATCGGCCGCTCCCCTACGCCCTCCTTGTCATGGCAATTCTTGAAGAATACAACATCAAAACCGATGTTGGGCCAAAGATAAAGGGGACAAAGCATTGGGAGATTGATGAATC